CCTTGGGGGTTAGGATTTTAACATATGAATTGGGGAGGGACACAAACATTTAGTCTATGCCACTCTATTCTTCCATTTATATAAAAATTCTAGATAATGCAAACTAGTCTATTAACAGAAATTCTGGGATTGGGGGAGGGTGGTGTAGGAGGGGGGAATTCCAAAAGGGTACTGGGAATCTTTTGAGGCTGATGAACATGTTCATTATTTTGATTGTGGAGATGATTTCACAGGTGTGTACATATGTCAAAACTCATAAAATTTTACAAATATATGCCGTTTACTTGATGTCAGTTATACTTCAATAATGTCTTAAAGAAAGATTCTGCTGAAGGACTGTAATAAAGGTGCTTTAAGTTCTAATTTAAAAAGAAAACAATTTCAACTGGCATAAACAATTAAAGAAAATTTCTTGACTCAGTATAACTGAAATGTCTAGAGGTAGGCTTCACGTATGTTTTGATCAGAGCACCACACCCATATATCTGCAGGCCACTCTGCTCACTTCCTGATGTTGGCTTTATCCTTACTTGGGTTTTCCTGGTGGTAGCCAAATGGCTGCAGCAGTTGTAGGCTTCACATTCATATGAACAGATAGGTTTCCTTCCCCTGACCATTGGACCAAAATTTCCAGTCTTACCATGATTGAATCAACTAAGTTCCTATACCAATCACCATGGCAAGGGCCTGTGCAATAGTTAACCCAACTCTAAATATATAAGGTGAAATGGATGTTGGAGAAGCAATCAATTGAAATGTGAGATATAGATGGGCAGATTAGTATGGTATAGTCAGCATGGGGAAAGGAAGGTTTGGATTGAAATAGAAGGTGACTAAAGTTGTCATTTATGTTTTAAAAGGTGTTATTGATATAAAACGGAAATGTACTATATTTTGAAATGTTAGAGTGTCAGGATCTTAAGGTAGGTACAAGAAAGTTTCTTTTCCTGGGGCCAGCCCAGTGGTGTAGTAGTTAAGTTTGTGGGCTCCACTTCAGCGTCCCGGGGTTCGCAGGTTCAGATCCCCCGCGCGGACCTACACAATGCTCATCAAGCCATGCTGTGGTGGTATCCCACATACAAAAAAATGGAGTAAGATTGGCATTGATGTCAGCTCAGGGCAAATCTTCCTCAAGCAAAAAGAGTAAGATTGGCAATAGATGTTAGCTCAGGGCCAATCTTCCTAACCAAAAAAGAAAAAAGAAAATTTCTTTTCCTTGTCAGCTGTTTGGGCACCTTTCTTGCATCCTCACTGCCTGTTGTAATTCCTGTGCTTTTCAGGATATCTACTGAGAGAACCTGTCATGTGGCTTTGTAGATACCCCAGGAGCATAAATAACAAAATAGCAGTCTTCTGGATACAGGTTAAACTGGCTCTCCCAGACATCAGGCACCAGAAATTACTGGTTTTAGGGGTGGTACAAGATAGGAAAAAATGTGAGAAAAAGTTAGGAAATATTGAGGGTAGGGATAAGAGCCCTGGAAGACTGTTTTATCTTCTTTCTTTCTTCCTTCCTTCCTTCCTCCCTTCCTCCCTCCCTCCTTCCTTCCTTCTTTTCTTTCTTTCTTTTTTGTGAGGAAGACCAGCCCTGAGCTAACATCCATGCCAATCCTCCTCTTTTTGCTGAGGAATCTTTTTGCTGAGGAAGACTGGCCCTGGGCTAACATCTGTGCCCATCTTCCTCTACTTTATATGGGACACTGCCTGACAAGTGGTGCATTGGTGTGCGCCCGCGATCTGAACCCGGGCTGCCAGCAGCGGAACAGGCTCACTTCACTGCTATGCCATGGGGCCGGCCCCTGAGAACCCAAATTTTAACTAGACAATCTAACCGGACAACTCTAATTGGGGTATAAATGTATTCAATCAGTCACTCATTCATTTAACAAATAATTCATTTAGTCAACTAATAATTGCCAGCTCTTATTGAATATTATGTGACAGGCCCTGGTACTAAATGCTTTTCTTATTTAATTCTCACAACAACTCTATGAGGTATGTCCCATTTACAGATGAAGGAACTGAGTCACAGAGAGGTTAGGCAGCTTTGCCAAAGTCATAAGGCTTTTAAGTGCTGGAGCTGGGTCTCCAATCCTGTCTGATTACAGAGATCTTGCTTCTAACCACTGTATAACCTCCCTCTCAAAATGAAGAATCCCAAAGCAATGTGACACATGCTTACACGGGTGTGTATAAAGTTCACAGAGAAATGAGTGACTAATTTTGTGAGGAGGTTGGACTTCAAGAAAGGTTTCACAGTTGAAGTGGTTTGAGCAATCTTGAAGGAAGAGAAGAGTTGTAATCCTGGTGCCTAGCACAGAACTTTGCATATGAACTCAGTAAAATGATGATGAGGTGGCTTACGCATCTGAAAAGAGTTGTTTTCATGTTTACATGGAGCCTGGGATGTTTCCTACTGCCTTTTGATGCAACCATTCTGTGATTTAGCAATAGCATACAAGGTCATCAGATCTTTTGTGTATTACATCACTGATGCTTACAAAAGCCTTGTGAGATAAACAGGTATTAACTTTGTAAGATGGATGAGGAAACCAAGGCTGATGCTGCATGACTCGTCCAAGACCATACATGGTGAGTAAGTGGCAGAACAAGACAAGGACCTGGTGTCCCCCCCTACAGAGGGAGGGATTGGGGAATGGGATCCCTGTAATCTAGCCAGGCTCCTTTACTCTTAGCCTCCAGTTCAAGGCTTTGCTCTTTCCAGCCTCTGCATCTGAGCTTCTGAAGTTTCCCTCTCTGGGGAACACCCTCCCCTCCCTTCCCATTCCAACTCTCCAAATCTGGCTTACCCTTCAAGATCAAGCTCATCCCACATCTTCCTCCCAAACCTTCTCCAAATTCATTCAGCCTACTATCTAAGCTTCAATTAAATCCCTTAGCCCTGCTTGCAACCAGATTCTTGCCCTGAGAACTTCCTAAAGAGAAAGTCTAGGCTTGTTACTGTCATCCAGCCTTCCTCATCAGAACTCCTGTTGTCTACTCTTTCCAGCCTTTGGTTGGCCTCTTATTGTTGTTTACTTTATATATGTACGTCTTGTCTCTCACTTGTGAGGCACAAACCATATGCTCCTTTTTTAGCTTCGTACATCTATCACAAACATATTCTTTGGGATCATGGTGTTTGTTGACTCAAAGAGGATATCTGCTCTGACCACCTGTTGTTAGATTCTTCAGCTCCTAAATCATGCAAAACGGATACCTTGTCAACCCCCTTTCTAAAGCTTCTGGGGGGTGGGGGAAGAATGCAGGGGCTCTGGTAGGTGCATTCAGCAATTAATAATAACCCACACAATAATGTTTACTAATTGCCACGTCTTGTACAAAATACACTACATGTATGAAATCCTCAGGACGACTGTTATTATCTCCACTGAGCAGATGAAGACATATAACGGTCACTCAGCTAGTAAGTGGTGCAGCCAGCATTCAAACCCAGACTGAGCCCAGAGTCCATACTCTTAACTATGACTCTAAATTCTTTATGGGTAACCAAAAGTCTCTTGCTATAATGTAGATCCGTTTCCTTTCTTTCTAATCCTTATGGCAAGACAGAACTAAAGGGGTGAGAAAATAGTATTTATTATGCTCCTAGTCTGGGCCAGGAATTATGATAAGTTCACAACGCTTTATTAATATAATTCTAGGGGCTAGCCCAGTGGTGTAGTGGTTAAGTTTCCACGTTCTGCTTCGGTGGCCTGGGTTCTCTGGTTCGGATCCTGGGCATGGACCTACTCACAGCACATCAAGCCATGCTGAGGCAGTGTCCCACCTAGAAGAGATACAAGTCTACAACTATGTGCTGGAGCTTTGGGGAGAAAAAAGAAAAAGAGGAAGATCAGCAACAGATAGTGCAGGGCCAATCTTCCTCAAAAAAAAAAAAAGTTTAAAAAAAGATATGATTCTTGCAATGAGTCTATGAAGCGGGAAGTATTAACTCCATTTTAAAGAATTTGGCTCCCAAAGGGGTTAAATACTCAAGGTTTAGCTTTGAGTTATTGGCAGAGTTGGAAGGAGATCAGGTTTCCTGACTTTCAAGGAAGTGCTCTTTAAAGGAAATTGTACAGAACACCTTGACAGAGAAAGACCAGAAGGGCAAAGAGACATCTGAATTTCTACTTAAGAAATGTATTGGGGCGCCTCAGCAAAAAAAAAAAAAAGTATTAAAGTGCCTTGCACATAGCAGTTAAGTGCTTGTGCTCTTCTGCTGGCGGCCGGTGCTGCTCCCAGGCGCCCACTGATGCAATGCTTGTCAGGCCATGTTGTGGGGGCGTCCCACATAAAGTGGAGAAAGATGGGCACGGATATTAGCTCAGGGCCAGTCTTCCTCAGCAAAAAAAAAAAAAAAAAAAGAGGAGGATTGGCATGGATGTTAGGTCAGGACTGATCTTCCCCCCCCACACACACAAAATAAAAATAAAAAAAATAAAGTGCCTCGCATATTAAAGAATGGTAAGAGAAAGTCCAAAAGACTATTCTATAAACACCCACAGAGGAATTAGCTAAATAAATAAGGAGTCTTGGCCCGGGATTCAAATCCTAGAAACTCCCCAGAGGCAAAGGGAGAGAGCGCGCCACCTGTCCAAGAAACCCCGGTCTCCCGCTCTAGCGTCTTGGGCTCAGCCCCCTTTCCTTCCTCATTGGCTACTTCTTCCTGGGCCCCGCCCCAGGGTGGACTATTAAGAGGTCAAAGCCCTGCCCACCACCCGGCTTGGGCCTCTATTGGGGTGCCAGGCCCACGAGTCCTTCCAGAAACCGCTGTAGACGCTGGGGAGCTTCTCTACTCTCACCCGTGATTGGCCAGGATCAGCAGGGGTCCGCCTCCTCCTCCTCCGGATTGGCCAACGGTCCCTACGCTCACGCCCCTCCCGCCCGCCCCCGCCCCGTCTCCTCCCGGGCGGCCCGGCCTTGGGCGAGCCACGGCCTGGGCGGGAGTGGGCCCCGCCCCGCGTGGCCGCGAGGCCGGGAATTGGCGGCGGCGTGCGGCCATTTCCGGTTTTGGGGAAGTGGGTGGGGTGAGGAGCGGGACTGGGAGCTGCCGCCGCCTCGGCCACCGCCTACAGAACCTGCCTGGCGCCTGCTGCTGCCGGGACGATGCGGCCGGGGCCCAGAGGCTGCTGCTGCCGGCGCCCGGTGCGGGCGAATGGCTGCGTGGCGAACGGGGAAGTGCGGAACGGCTACGTGAGGAGCAGCGCCGCCGCCGCCCGCCAGGTACGGTGGGACCGGGCGGCCGGGCCGGGGGCGGGGGGCCGGGACCCGAGCTGGAGCCGGCGGAGGGGGCGGCCAGGTCGCGGTGACCGTCGGCGGGGGCGGTCGCTCCTCAGGTGTGGGGACGGCCGTGTCCTGGCGCGCTGACCGGGCCTGCCCCGAGCTGGCAGGGGCTCCCCCATCCCCCCCGGAGGTTTGGGCTCTGATCCAAGCCGGGGTACCTTCCTGTACCCGATGTGGTCTGAAGTGGGGGCCGCCCCCCAGGGGAGGCAGGGAGTGACCCCTCGGACCCGGGGGATCCACTCACGGGCTCTTGGTTCTTTTTCCCCGAGGCTCCCTCCTCACGCCCTGGAGGTGGTTGCTTCCTCTTAGAGCCCTGAAGCCATCTAAGGAGAACCACCCTTGGGGTCCTCCCCAGGCAAAGAAAGTTAGGAGGTGGTTCCAGGCGGAAACACCCAGTCTCTTCCTGCCACATACCCACCCCCTCTCCAAGCCAGACATTGGACCACAGATCTGGCGCTGAATCCGGTCCGGTGCCTGAGAAGCACTGTGCCCTTACTCTGCCCGTGGTGAGACCCCATCCCGGGCTCAGGTTGAGTTAGATGGTCGCTTTGAGCAAGACTGCTGTCACACAAGGAGATTGTTTAATCTGGTGGCGACTTGTGATGAGTCTCTATACTAATTAGCCAAGGCTGAGTCACCAGCGGAGTCCAGGCAGTTCTTAAATATTTTGAAAAGTTCTAAATTCAAGACAGTAATTATTATCAACCTTCCGTTTGTCTGGATTGACGGATATTCTGCTGAAATGTGTTTTTGAAGATGAGCTGGTTTAAAAGACGCAGCATCAGTGTTGTTGGAAGAGAGTGTTGTGATGTTTGCAGTTTACTTTAATGCTTATAAATCTTGTTCAGATGTTAAGGAAAATATATATATTTTTAAAGTCATCTTTTCCCCTTAGCAGGAGTTTGACTGTTGCTGTTTTGATAAGATGGTGACTTAATTTGGCTTTAAGATAAATATCTGGCAGCCTCTTCCCCCAATCAGTAGATAGATAGGCCTCTTACTGTTTGGTGTGAAATAGAAAATAAACCATTTCTCCGGGTCATCTTGAGGTGTTAAGACTATGACAGTTGGGGGGTAAAAACATAAAAGAGATTTGACCTCCTCTGAAGTTGTAAGGTGTAAGGCAACGTAATAGTACACAGGTTCAGAAGGTTTTGTTTTAATTTTTAAAGAAATAATTGTGTGAGAGAGGAAATGGTAAGAATCAGCCCATTATAAGCTGGGGAAGAAGTTGTTGTTTTCCTAGCAATGTAAATGGCTAATAAGACAAAATTGTTGGGGCCGGCCGATGGCATAGTGATTGGGTTCACGCTCTTGACTTCAGATGGCCCGGGGTTTGCAGGTTCTGATCCTGGGCTGGGACCTACACACCACTTATCAAGCCATGCTGTGGCGGTGTCCCACATACAAAATAGAGAAAGGTGGACACGGATGTTAGCCCAGGGCCAATCTTCCTCAGCAAAAAGAGGAGGATTGACAATGGATGTTCGCTCAGGGCTAATTTTCCTCATCAAAAAAAAAGACAAAATTGTTGTGGTCTAGAAAGTAACAGGGAAACCTAACGGGTAGGAGTCAGAAAATACATTGGAGGCACATGAGTGGGTTTTGATTTTTAAGACGGAAAAGGAAATCAAGAGAAAGGTGTTCACACTTAGAGGAGCTTTGTGTTTTAAGTGCTCTTTCCTTTTGACATAACATAGAAGTTATGTTCTGATTTAGTAGTAAACCAAATTCCTCTCTTCCATAATCCCTAGCTAATTTAGCCTTTGTAGGCATGATATTTATTCAGAGATTGCCGACTAGTAAGATGAAGAAATATCAAATAGCTAAACTGAAATTTAAAAACCTGTATGACTCTAACATCTGGCTGACTTGTTCTAATATGTATTAGTGAAATATTCCACTCAAGGCACTCTGGTGGTATTTGGAAGAATGGTCTAGTGGAATGCTCTAAAGAATGTTTAAGGCTGCAATATCCCTTCTAGAAAACTATTTCCCACAAGTCTTTTTATTTTTTATTTATTTATTTATTATTTTTTTATAATTTTTATTTATTGATTGATTTTTCCCCCAAAGCCCGAGTAGATAGTTGTATGTCATAGCTGCACATCCTTCTAATTGCTGCATGTGGGATGTGGCCTCAGCAGGGCCGGAGAAGCCCGGGATCTGAACCCAGGCCGCCAGCAGCAGAGCTGGCGCACTTAACCACTAAGCCACGGGGCCGGCCCAACCCCCACAAGTCTTTTTAAAACAAAGACTTTAGATATGTGGCTTTGTACACTGATATAGGGAACATTGTTTGTGAGGGTTTTTTTCTTTCCTTTTTCTTTTTTATTTTATTCTTTTTTTTTTTTTTTTTGTGAGGAATATTAGCCCTGAGCTAACATCTGTCACCAATCCTCCTCTTTTTGCTGAGGAATATTGGCCCTGGGCTAACATCCGTGTCCATCTTCCTCTACTTTATATGGGACGCCACCACAACATGGCCTGACAAGCGGTGCGTAGGTGCGCACCCGGGATCCGAACCTGCGAACCCTGGGCTGCCGAAGTGGAGCGTGCGCACTTAACTGCTGAGCCGCCGGGCTGGCCCTCCTTTCCATTTTCTTAACCAAGAGAGATTTTTAGTAACTTCATGAGAGCAAGATTATCTTAAAAATATTTTTTACAGTTGTTTTTGTTTTAGTTAAAGTGATGTGCCAGTGCTCCACCCCCTATGTTTTTCCCAGCCCGTTCTGGAGGAAATGTTGCCAATTATGCCATAAAAATACACATAAGATGTTAAGTGCACAGGTGTGTGTCATGCTTTTACTAAAATATAAGTTTAGAGTATAACGTGGTTTTTAAACCTGAGATGTAAGTTCATTTCCTCCTATATCCCAACATTTGTCTTTTAATGAACAGGAGAAAAGTTAGAAACTTCTAAGATCCCTTTACATTCTCAAGAGTCTGTGTTTCTGTGTTTTGAAGGAATGAATGTATATGTTTGCCACATTGTTGGATTTGGGTTTAGAATTCAAGTAAATAGATCCTGTGGTAGAAAGGGCGCATGAAACAATCAGACATTACTGTTTGTTTTTATCTGTTTTTTTCCTCCAATTTTTTTTATTGTGGTAAAATATACATGACATAAAATTTACCATCTTAACCTTTTTTAAGTGTACAATTCGTTGGTATTAAATACATTCATAATGTGCAGTCATCACCACCATCCATCTCTGGAACTCTTTTCATCTTGTAAAACTGAAACTCTATACCTGTTAAACAGTAATTCCTCGTTCTCCCGTCCTCCCAGTCCCTGGCAACCACCATCTACTTTCTGTCTCTATAAATGACTGCTGTACTTCCTATAAGTGGAATCAGGCAATATTTGTCTTTTTGTAACTGGCTTATTTCGTTTAGCATAAAGTCCTCATAGTTAATCCATGTAGTAGTGTATATCCAAATTTCCTTCCTTTTTAAGGCTGAATAATATTCCATTGTATGTGTATACCACGTTTTTCTTAGCCATTCATCTGTCAGTGAACACTCAGGTCGCTTCCATGTTTTAGCTATTGTGAATAATGCTGCTATGAACATGGGTGTACAAATACCTCTTTGAGACCCTGCTTTCGATTCTTTTGGATATATGCCCAGAAGTGGAATTGCTGGATCATATGGTAATTCTACATTTAATTTTTTTTTTTGAGACCAGTTTTTGTTTTTTTTAATTAAAAAAATTTTTTTTTTTTTTATGAGGAAGATCAGCCCTGAGCTAACATCTGATGCCGATGTTTTTGCTGAGGAAGATTGGCCCTGGGCTAACATCCGTGCCCATCTTCCTCTACTTTATATGGGATGCTGCCACAGCATGGCTTGATAAGCGGTGCGTCAGTGCGCACCCGGGATCCGAACCTGCGAACCCTGGGCCATTGAAGCAGAATGCATGCACTTAACCGCTGTGCCACCGGGCCAGCCCCTGTACGTTTAATTTTTTGAGGCACCACCATACCGTTTTCCACAGCAGCTGTACCATTTTACATTCCCATCAACAGTGCACAAGGGTTCCAGTTTCTCCATATCCTCGCCAACACTTATTTTCTGTTTTTTTGATTGTAGCTGTGGGATAATAGGAAAAAAAACCATATATATATATATATATATATGTCTCTGCCCTCTGTTCCTGGTCCAGAACTCCTGAAACCTGTGTAATTTCATAAGTGACAAGAGCACTGGGACCATATTTTGTTGTAATATTTGATCTTTGCCCCTGGTTCCTGACGCAGGGCTCCTAAATCCCTTGGAATTTTCTGGGTGATGGCAGTTCTAATTCTAATGTTCTTTTGTTCTAATTGAGGTGACTCTTGGTGGGCTCCTGGGTGGGGGCTGGTCACCAGAGAGACTAAACCATGATTAGAAGCTTGGAATTCTCAGCCCCACCCCCTACTCTCCAGGAGGGGAGAGGGGCTGGAAATGGAGTTAATGTTTGATCATGCCTTCGTGATGAAGCCTTCATAAAGCTCCCAAAGTATGGGGTTTGGGAGCTTCTGGGTTGCTGAACACGTGGAGGTGCTGGGAGAGTGGTGCACCCCTTTCCATATACCTTGCCCTGCACATCTCTTCCATCTGGATGTTCATCTAGATCCTCTGTCATATCTTTTTTGTGTGTGTGTGTGTGAGGAAGATCAGCCCTGAGCTAACATCCATGCCAATCCTCCTCTTTTTGCTGAGGAAGATTGGCCCTGAGCTGACATCCATGCCCATCTTCCTCCACTTTATGTGGGACACCGCTACAGCACGGCCTGACAAGCGGTGCATCGGTGCGCGCCTGGGATCTGAACCCAGGCTGCCAGCAGCGGAGTGCACGCACTTAACCGGTATGCCACGGGGCTGGCCCCTGTCATATCCTTTTATAATAAACTGGTAAACAGTAAACAGTTTTCCTCAGTTCTGTGAGCCACTCT